AGAGATTTATGTTCGCTTCGTATAAAAACACCAAAAAATTAGTATCAATTTTAATAGACTGACGAAAAAAACTCGTGGAAGAGAAGGTGTAAAAACATACAAAAAAGTCTGCTCGCCCTCCCTGCTGCTCAAGATAAAGTCCAATTAGTATTTAAAAAGACCAAAATCAATATGATGCATACAATCAAGAATGCAAGCTTCATAAATGTTTATGTTTCTGAAAAAATTTTTATTGTAAGTTCTTTGAAGAATTGTTGAAAGGGTGATAATTTAAGCACTTACAAAAACTTCCAAAAAGCATTATCTATATTATGTATAGAATAGTCTTTGCCATATTTTTCTTTATAATCTGCTGCATATTCTCTGGAGTTCTGAGAGGCATATTTTTTAACTTTAGATTTATTTGATTTAAGTCACTTCGCAGAACCATGCAGATATAGTATGGTATATTATATTGTACTGATTTATATGTTGCTGTTATTTTATTAGCTTCTAACATGTCTGAAAAAAAGAATGAAATACATGTAGCAAAGGCAACTGGTCGTTCTCTAATTTTAAAATATAAAGCATCAGGTTTTTCTAACAAAGGACAGAGCATAATGTATAAGCATTTGTGATATATTTTACATCATTTATTTCGAAGAACATCAGTAGTTTTAGTTTCAGTATCATTAATAATAAACAAAAATCCTAAAAGAATTCTAGAATTTGGTGAATTTCAGATCTAATTTGGAAGGTTTCCAAGTATTAGAAATATTGGGTATCCAGAAATCTTGCCAAGATCATTAAATGTGGTAGCATCAGAATAAAGAATGATTGATAGTAAGCTATTCAATGGCGGAAGAGTTTTTCTGTTGCAAGCCACCAATTTCCCTCATATGATTCACCAAAAACTTTTTTACCTTTAATGTTTTAAGAATATAATTAAAATAATTTATTAAAAGATTATTTGTTCTTTAGTATCATCGGCCATTGCTTCTATTTTTGCTAAAAATAATATTTTTTATTATTAGAGATTCAGTATTATTTATTACCTAATAACCTGGCTTTTGGAGACACAAAATACAACTATATTAATTATTATATTTTACCTAAATTAGTCTGATTCTTATATAGTATACAAAGACACTATTTGAGAAATGAAAGTTCTTGAATAAGACTCCAAGTACTACTGTCCACGATGGCCAACAGCATATATCGTAGAATTATTATTCTTACCTTTTTTAAAATACCTTTGAGAACAACATTACTATTCACTTCTTGTTGCTATAAAAGAGCTTGAATCGCTCGAAATATTAGATGATAATAGAGTGTAATGTTATTTCTAAAGTATTTTTCTACTATTTTTTCTTTAAAGTCTATTGAAGAGATTTTATTTGATTAAGGTAATCTTTTCTATTTTTGGTTAACTTTGATAATGGTGATATTTTCAAATTACTATGCTTATTGAAGAACTTAATAATTTTATTTCTGATAATGTTAGAAATATTACCTTCTATAATTAACTCCATGAAGTTCTTGTAAGTATCGTTTGGCCACTCTACTATATATTTCAGTTTATTTACTCCTTCAATAGAATCTAAGACATCATCTAACATTGCTTTTTGAAGATCTTCAGGCTCAAAATTATTATTGTCGAGGTTTACTAACAATTTATCATCATCTTCATCTGACATATCTTCTATCATTTCTTGATCAATAGCTTGTTCTATTTTATTCAATAAACTTCGAAAAAAATAATACAATTCATTTTGTAGTGATGTGTTAACTTCAATGTTGCTCACATCTAAGTTGCTAATATTCTCTTCTTCAAATACTACATCTTCCATTTCCTCAAAATTTTCTGCGTAAGCTATTAGAGAAATTGTTCTTGACATTCTCGTAATAGGCATGCTCCACAAGTTATCATCATGTTTTGGTCTTGATACTGCTTGCGAACCTTGTAAATGCTGCGATTGTTGAGGCCTTTGTTGAATAAGTTAAGGAATTTCTAACCTTTCTTGATGCATAGCATTGGCATGTTGTATCAAACCGTAAGGAGTCGAAAAGGTTTTTTTACAAATTCTACAATGATATCTGGTCATTGTTTCTTTGTTATAAAAAATGACCTGGTTAGCTATACGATTAAATAGCTTTTGGATAATTAATATGATAATTATGCTCAAAATAATTTTTAAAAATTATCTATGATGAAATCTTTCTAGATTAACCATGTAATGAAAATATTTTGAAGACTAATTGCTTGGAGTAATCTTTGATTATTCATGAAAATCTTTAGAAATTAATTCTATTATGAGAATAATCTTTAAAGATTAATAATTAAGATGAATTAATTTTTAA